GGAGCAGTTCAACTTGGAATCCTCAAAATTTGAAGTTCCCAGGCTTTTTGTATTTTCGTTTAAGCACATAGGTCCTTTGGATGTGACCTTATTTCCTAGATTTTAAAAGAAATTTCTAAACCAGCAAGATTGTTTATCAAAGCATATACAAGAAATTTCTATTCAACTATTTTTGCATAGGATGAATCAACCTTAAAGTCGTACAAAGCCCCAATTCTTAAAGTAACTCATAACTTTAACCATTAGTTCTATATTGGCTTTAAGACAGTACCTTTAGGTTTGGTGGATTTTCAGAGTATTGTCAGTTTGTGCTATTTTTCATTATGCTAATATACTGCAACTTCTGATAGGAATGCTTTGCCAAGATTAAGTTTTTAGTGAAGATAAATTCGTATAAATAAAATTTAAGAGAGAGCAGAAGCATATTTTTTTGTAGAGCAGGACCAACAAGTTAACATGCCAGTTAATAGCAGATTATACATAAAACAAAAATAAAACCACAATGTGAAAAGAACAAAAAATAATCTCTGTTTCATTTTCGCAATACCTATTTAAAATATATTCATAGTTCAATACAATTATACAAAGCTCCTATTTATGAGGAAAAAAATCTTCCTTGAAAGCAGGGGCGTATGTAGAGTTCTAATGACGGTTCAATTGACCTCATAACTTTTGACGCGGAGTAAGAATTTGTGTCAAAATTTATTAAAATTGCAAAAATAGTAGATATGAACCCATAACTTTACAAATATAATGAGTTAAATACTACCTTAAAAGTTGAACCCATAGGGTTTAAATCTTGGATCCGTCTCGGCTTGAAAGCAAAAGAAAAACCAAAAATATATATATGCCAACCTCGATAATTACTCTGGAGGGAGAGAGAAACAACAAGTTGTTGTTAAGAATACCGAGAGAACAACGTAATAAAATTAGAAAAGGAAAAAGACATCGTTAAGGAAACAACAATGAACCAAAAGAGCGGAAAAGGGGCAAAAACCAAACAGATTCAACAAAGGTAGACCAAAAAGTAGAAAGACTGAAAATAATAGAAAGAAATTTGAGCAAAAATTAAATGGAAAACATACCCTGATGTGAAGATGAGGAGAAGAGCAGCTGCTTGTGCGTCTGTTCTTTTCATTTTTCAGTTAGAGATGAGCATGAAAAATCGGATCCTTCTAGAATTTCTATTTAACAGTTAATGACGCAATTGCCCTTAAAAGAAGCTTGATTTGCAAAGATACCATTGATCGACCATATTCTCTCTTCAATGAGAAGGATTTCTTGGAGGATTTGTGGTCTCGAGTTCAAGATCTTTCTAGTAGAGAGTGGAAACTTGATAGTGGTATTTGTACTTTCCATTGATTTTAAAATTGTTCTGATCCTTTCCACTGTCACCATTACAAACTGTTCCTATTTTGACAAAGAAAAGCTGTCTCTCTTCTGCTCCAAAGAAGGCAAAACACTTACGTAAGAATGGTAGGTGAATTAATGACTATATATCATCCATTGCTATTTTTCTCTAAAAAACAAATTAACAACCATAAATTTAAAATCCTCTAGGGCTGTATAATGAGCTGAGCTGAGCAAATTTTAGACTCAATCTAGTTGATTCTATCCAAACGGGATCTCAGCTAAGGCTCGATAGAGCCACCATTTAGCAGGTTTGATCTCGCATGCGTCCAATTTGTTCAGGCTCGGGATAAACTCTCAAAGGTATGCGAAATGAAGCAATTCAAGGGGCAAAGTTGTGTGTAGTGAAGGCAGCATGGGCAGAGTAAGCATACATGCATTGGAGGCAGCAGCCGACACTGTGAAATCCCTTGGAGGAGGGAGCAGTGGACTAGCAGTTGTAGAACANATTAATGACGCAATTACTGTTTTGCCCTTAAAAGAAGCTTGATTTGCAAAGATACCATTGATCGACCATCTTCTCTCTTCTATATAAATAAATAATAATAATAATTTAAAGATTCTACTTTTCCAATAAGTAACAAAGTTATGGAAAAGTTTCCTAAAATAGCTTTCCATATTACGGTACTTTTCAAATTAAAACCCAATCCCTTTCCTACAACTACAACTAAAACGAGTAATTAAATCTTTTCAGATTCTCGAATGGTAAAAAATCTTTGATTTACATACCAAGCAACTCTTCTATAAATTATTATACATCAACAAGTTCTTAATTTACGAAGCCAATTAATCTTCTTCTTTCTTCTACCATGAACACTACTATTAACACCATGAAGAAAACTCAAGGGCGGAGAAAAATTGCAATCAAGCCAATAGACAATCAAAACAGCAGGCATGTTACTTTCTCCAAACGGCGTTTAGGTCTTTTCAAAAAAGCTAGCGAACTTTGCATCTTAAGCGGTGCAGAAATCGCTATTCTTGTTCAATCTTTAAAACGACAACGTCTTTTCGCTTTCGGTCATCCCAATGCTGACGCCGTTATCGACCGTTATCTCACTGGAAAATCCTCCTCCTCCTCCTCATCCACCGTCGATCAACTCAATGTGCAACAGAACAATCAATACTATTCTCAGATTTGTAGAGAATTGGAGGCTGAGAAGAAAAAAAAGGAGATTATTGAAAATTCAAAGATTGTGAATAATAATAATGAGGGATTTTGGTGGAATGAATCATTTGATTATATGACAATTGAGGAACTTGAAGAAATTATGGGTGCATTGGAAGAATTGAAGAAGAAAATAACAATGAGAGCTGATGAATTGAGTATGATAAATGGTTCTTCAGTTTTGCCAAGTAATTCAACTATNGAGGGATTTTGGTGGAATGAATCAATTGATGATATGGGAATTGAGGAACTTGAAGAATTTATGGGTGCATTGGAGGAATTGAAGAAGAAAATAACAATGAGAGCTGATGAATTGAGTATGATTAATGGTTCTTCAGTAGTGCCAACTACTTCAACTTTGAATAATAATATTGCTAGATTTGGGGCTGAAGACCAATTCTTGAATCAGGCCGCTATCGACTATTGTTCTTCAATTGTTCCTTACCAATTCAATCACCCAGGAGGTGGCCAATTCTGAAGCAATTATTTTCATATTTAAAGCTTGATTAGTTGAGTATTTTAATAAAGAAATAGCATGTCGTGATCTTTTATATATAGAAAATTTGAGAAGCTGTTGTTTTTGTACTAATAATCTCTACTATCTTCTTCCTTGTGTCAATGAACAAGTTAATTGTTCTAGTGACAAAACTAATTAGTATTACTACATTAATTAAAAAAAATAGTGATGAAAGAATTCGGAGTTGCATAATCATTTACAAAAGATTGCATTTTGAACAATTGTATTTCTAGTAGGTATTACTAGGTTTATGCCAATCTCAATTTTTTTGTGCTTGCAACAAGTTCAAGTGTGGAGCAGTAATTTCCCTGTATTAATTTAAATGACTGATGTTAAATCTTGATATTTTATTCTTCTTTTTTATTTTCTTGTTTCTAACAAGTTGAGTTGTTCCAATAATGACACTTGTTGGCTACTTTGTATTATTTATGCAAACACTAATATAAACAATAGACTCATACTGCCAAAGTCAAGGTGAAGAAGCTGAGAAAGATTGCCAAAAGGAAGAAGAAGTTCATGAGACCTGGATAAAAGCTAAAACTAAACTGGTCATGTTGCACTCTTTCTTTATGTTTTCTTAGTATTTTATTTCAATGTTAGAATTTGAATGTGGTTTCTTATGGTTTTTAATCCATCTTTTATTGACAATGAGATCATACCTTGGTGCCACTTTTCATTGGTTTACTAAAGCTTTAATCAGTTTTTTATTTGGAGTATTACTTAAGCTTATGATTGTAATAACAACAGTATGTTTTATTATTCTCCTTACGAGAAAATGCATGTATCTTTTCCCCATATGAGCGGGTCGAATACGGATAATGCAAAAAATGGATAAATTATTCGATCCGACTCATATTTAATAAGGATAGAAAATGGGTTAATCGGCGGATAATATGAGTGACCACATTATCCATGAATTTTTAAATATGATCACTTTTGGGAGAATTCATATTCTCCCAAGCTTGAGTAACCCTCAATTTTAGTCTTTATAAATGTAAAAGTTAAACTCATTAGTTATCCATTTGTTATCCATTTTCTAAGTGGATAATATAGTTCTTACCCATATTTGATCTATTTTTAAAAAAGTTCATTATCCAACCCATTTTTTAGTGGATAATATAGATGAATGACTATTTTTTTTAATCCGCTTTGCCACCACCAGTGAGAATGCTTGATATATGTTCTTTAAGAGAAATCGTTAATTAATTAGACAGATATATATATTATTTATATGAACTAGAGAAGGTACAACTCAACTTTACACTAAGAAATAAAGGCAGGATTTCTTAACGAAAAGTTATGACTGGGGAAGTAATTAATAACATGATAATAGCAGATAAAAGGATTGCAAAATATTAACAATTACTAACTTATTTATTTATATGGGCAATCAATACACAAACTGAGAACTTGAAAAGCATATAGCAAAGACCAACTAGTGAGGTACTCGTTGGCTTTAGTTAACAAAAAGAGGGGAAAAAAAAGGCAACCCGGTGCTCTAAGCTCCCATTATGCGCGAGATCCGAAAAAGGGTCGGACCAGAAAAGAATTAAAACAACCCAACTGAATCAAAGCCAAAGTTATGGTTATGAAGATTATTTGAAGCAACCATGTTTCGAGCTGGCTTGATATCATAGTTGTCAAAAATCCTATTACCATTAACACCAAAATAAGAAGAAGAATTAGTAGTCTCAACCATAAACTTGCTTGCCTAATTTGTCACATTCTTTTTTAAAACCTCCATTGAATCCTTTAATTGTTCAAGTTCATGCAAGTCAAGTTTACTTATTGGAGTTTCCCACCAATATTGACTTTGACTATTTTTCCTTATTTGATCAAATGATTCTCCTATTTTCTTCTCAACTTCAAGCTCCGCAAGAATCTGAGTTAACTGCAAATTGAGCTCACGAACACTAGCATTTCGATGAGCCTCAACAAGATGAAGTGGTTAATTAGAAATTGGATTATGATTTCTTGAGAGGAACCTATCGACAATGGACTCAACATTAGGGTGACCAAAAGAAAATACTTTTCTAGCAGGTGAATACACTATGATAGCTATTTCAACACCACAAAGTGTGCATAGTTCACTAGCTTTCTTAAAAAGACCAGAACGACGTTTTGAGATTAAGATTATATTAAGATAAATGATGGTGAGTGAGAAAAGGAGATCTCTGCCAATATTGGAGATGCTATATGTAATTTTATTTTTGAGTTGTAACCTAAAGACAATCATGTATTGCATTTACTTTTGAGTTGTAACCTAAGGAGAAGCCAATTATGATAATAGTTGGATAATAATAGTGTCTTAGCTTGAGAAATCAGGCGGTGATAAGTAAGTTTAGATATTGACGAGTAATGAATCACAAAAGTTAAATAGCATATATAGATTATAAGATATGAAAAAAAATGCAAAAATTATGTCGGAATTTGGGAATTTTCTTGAATTAAATTGCTGTAGACAAATCATACGGTTACAAATAATAAAGTTATATAAGAATTAAATAAAGGAAAATATGACATATTTCTTAAAATGTATATTCACTACCATTAAGAGGAACAAATATGCAAAGTAATATATTGTTAGCAGAAATGAGCTTATTAAAATCTAAAAGGTCGGAAGAATGAATGAGGTTTTTTACTGTACTTTTTAATTTTCTTAATGATTTTGTGCTAATTTATAGTTAAGGACTATAGATGCCAACTCTATCATGTTTGCATTTTTATCAAAAATTTAACTTGATTTCAAGACAGATAATCATATAATACGATAATTTTTGTATATTTTATATTATCTACTGCAAAATTTAATTTATGTATCCGGGGAGCTTTTTATATGACATCTTTTCTACCTAAAAGGTTTAAAACCCTTCTGTTATTGCATTTACCCTCTTTTTCGTTTGTAATGATTTTTTGTCTTTTCCGGTGATCAGAGGCGGAGCTAGACTATTATTTACGGGTTCGGACAAATTCATTAGTTTTTTATTAGATTTATATTTGTATTAAAAAATTAGTAAATATGTATTAATATTTAACTACGAATCCAGTAACTAAAATGAGCTGTGGGTTCGATGAAAAAATCAAAACCCATAAACTTCAAATCTTGACTCCGCCTCTGCCGATAATCAATGTCTTTATTTATTTTTACAAGAATCACTTAAAGGTAATTGGTTTTTTTTCTGTATATAAGATCAAGAGAAACACCATCACCACCACCGAGCAAAATGAAAGCAAAAGATAAAAGAAAAGTAGCACGTCAAGCATAGAAGTATCGATTTTGAAAAAATTGTCAATATAACAACAACAACATACCCAGTAAAATTCCACTAGTGGGGTCTGAGTAGAGTAGAGTGTACGCAGACCTTACCTCTACCCCGAAAAGGGTAAAGAGGTTGTTTCCAGGAGACTCGCGGCTCAACAGGAAAGGTAATAATATCAGAAAAGAAATAAGAGACAAGACCCGTGACAACAAAAGATACCAGAAACAAAATAACCACAGCAAATAAGTGAAAGGACAATAACACAAAACTATACAAAACAACAATGTGAATACAACAAAGACCGCTAACAAACCTAAACGAAATTCTATCCGACTACCAGTACAAAGAGGGAATAAATCTCGACTACCCCCTAGCCTACCACCATAATGCTCGACCTCCATATGTTCCTATCAAGAGCCATGTCCTCGGAAATTTGAAGCCGCGCCATGTCCTACCTGATCACCTCGCCATATTCGTCAATATAACTAGTTCGAAATTACTAAAT